TCTCTCTCCCTCATCTCTCCCCCATCTCTCTCCCTCATCTCTCCCATCCCTCTTTCTCTCTCTCCCCATCTACCTCTCCCTCATCTCTCCCATCCCTCTTTCTCCCTCCCCCATCTATCTCTCTGTCATCTCTTCCCCATCTCTCTCTCTCTCCCTCCCATCTCTCCTGTCCTTGCCTGCGAGGTCTTCCTCAAACTCGTTCCTCTCGTGTCTCCTCAGCGCCCGTGTTGAGCTTCGAGGAGAACCTCGCGCAGTCGCGGTTGGCGGAAGCCGGCCTGCAGCTGGTGGCCCGGGAGGAGCAGCTGTGCGGGCAGGGGGACGAGGCGGCGAGGGAGAGGCTGGGGCAGGACTACGAGAGGCTGCGCCTTCAGATGTGGGAGGTGGTGATGGCGTCGCTCAGCCTCGGGGACGGGGAGCTCGAGAGGCTGAGGTCGGCGGTCGAGGCCATCGCGCACCAGGAGGAGCAGGACAGGCGGTGGAAGGAGGAGAGTCAGAGAGAGGCGCCGAGCTGGAGGCCGCTGCGGTGCCGCAGCACGCACGACCGCCAGCTGTGGCAGATAGTGGAGAGCCGGATGGACAGTACGGAGGAGGTGAACGGGGCGGCTAACCTGTCCTCCTCTGTGAAGAAGGAGGTCTTCAGGCTGGGCAAGCGCCTGAAGGACGACCTGCTGACGGTGGCGCGTCGCGTGAAGGGCTGCTACCCCCAGGAGTTCGACATCTGCAACACTTACGCAAGGTTATACCATGCAGCCTTCTCCATCCAGATGAGGAACCTGACGGAGTTCACGCTGGACCACGAGGACTGCAGCTACCTCCTGTGCTGGATCCACAATTACTATCCCAAGTAAGTGCCATGGATCCAGTATTATTATCCCAAGTAAGTGCCATGGATCCAGTATTATTATCCCAAGTAAGTGCCATGGATCCAGTATTATTATCCAAAGTAAGAGCCATGGATCCAGTATTATTATCCAAAGTAAGCTCCATGGATCCAATGTTATTGTTCAAAGTTAGTGCCGTGGATCTACTGTTATTACTTATTAAAGTAAGTGCCATGGATCCAGTATTATTATCCAAAGTAAGCGCCATTAATACAGTATTATTATTCAAAGTAAGTTCTACAGAATTGCAACACGGGCTCCTCAGGGCTGTGCATGCTAGAACTGCACATTAAAGAGTTCACAGCTCTACGACATGCACATGTATGTATGTATGTCAATTACAGCAATCACAAAAGCTGATTTGCTACTTAATCAAATGTTTCTGCACGTTTTTCTCCTTGCAATACCAGACAGGCAGAGATTGTTGTCGATGGTTGGTAATACTTCATGTCATCCAGAACAAAACTCAGTCTGAGTGGTGAAGTCCCGTCTTTCTTTGAATCCGTGGCTGCTGCTGGGCTTTTCTGTTTGTTTTAAAGTGGTAGAGACTTGTTATTAAGCTTTTTATGTAGATTATTTAGGTTTTAGAAGTTCAAGTATTTAGTATTTAGTTTGAGTATCTACTGTAGTTTTATTCTGCTTAAAATGCTAGACTTGGGAAATCCTCAGAGTGACTTCTTTGGTGCTGTGATTTGCCATGAACTTGTCATAGGTGTTGTTGCGTTTCTTTTTAAAGCAGTATTTAATCGGTTTTCAGTCTTTTCGTAAAAACACCATCCAGTACAGTAAATACAGGATGTGTCTGTGATTCTTTCAGCAATGTGCTCAAGAACAAAGAGCTCCAGGCTGATATCAACACTGTGAACCTGGAAGCTCTTCTTCCTAAGGAGACATTAACACAACTGGAAGAGCAGTATTTTGCTTACAAACAGGTAGGTCAACTTCTGGTGAGCGAAAATCTAATTTTTCTGAGTACAGTTCACTCCCATTATTTATAAAAATTCATATTTTTTGCTGAAATACCCTTTCTTTTGCCATTTAAAATGAGATTTGGAAAAGGCGATGGAATTGTAAAAGGTTGAACCAGATTTGTCAGCATCTGTGTCGCTCCTCTCCAGCAGGCAGGCTCATCTTTCCCAGAAAGAAAAACTGTAACAACATAAACAATGTCACAAATTAAGGACAGGAAAAATAACATACAGTTAAACTGTGAAATCAATATTAGAAATAATACACAATCATTGAAAATTATTACAATGATTACATTTTGTGAATTAGACCATTGTTAACAGTGCATTATTAGAAATCCAAAGATCACTGCTTTTCTTTTGTTGCAATATCGTTCATGGCCTGACATCTGAATTATGACAATTTCGTGGTCGACAATGTGTCACAGCTTAGTAACCGGCACTTCATTTCAGTGCTCTGACAAGAATCAGCCCCCTGTCTTTCTTCTTTCAAAGAGATGACGTTCACACCCCCTGCTGACAAAGTGTTCTGTATTGTCCCATTTGTTTCTGAAACACTTTAAATCCTTTCACGTGCTGCTTAATCATTGATACGGGCCTAATGTCATGAAAAGTGGCTCAGAGATGCGTTTAAATTTTAACGTTTTAAGTAGGAAACTTTTAATGAACGAGTTTCCTCTTTTTTTTTGTGAAACGGGGGCTCCTCAGGGTGGCCGGAAAACTGAATTGCTTTTTTTCTGCAGAGTCAGATCAGCAAATGGACTTTGAAGGCTCTGCAGACCGAGGAGGAGAAGTGGATGAAAGGAGTGACTCCTGAGCTGACAGATGGGCATTACTTCAGCGAATTACCCATTGACATAATCCAGGTATTGAACACACATCTTTGTTGGAGGAGTCTGCTGTGACTCTTTAAGTGGCTCTGTGTGCCTAATTCACTGCGCCATTCCTTCTGTTATATGGTCTTGTTACTCGTCAGCTTGTCAAAAAGTGACCATGATCTTTGTAGACTCTAAAACGGATAACCATTCTCGGCACTATGAAACGCACGTCACCCTCTCTGAATTATTTATGAGCCAATGGCAGATGGACCTGAACACACTAAAACCCCACTCAAATGCTGAAACGCGGTTAGAAAATGACTTTAGGAAACATCAGTTGGAGGCTTGACTGGTGAAGGTGCTCGCTTGTGTGCAGGTTGAGCTCTGTGATCCAGGGTTCGAGTCTGGGCTATGTCACTAGCAGACTGTGATGAGGATTTGAGCTGACAGATTTGAGCTGTGCAACAAGAGCTGTCGCACAATTGGCTGAGTTGCGTTGAGGGTTGATGGGTGAGTCGGCCACGGTTCTCTGGGCTCTCAGCTACACAGCGCCCCCTGTGGCCTCCTGCGTGCTTACAGAATGTGGCACCGTCAGTGAGGGACACCTCTCCTCCAATCAGCGCTGAACTTCCTGCTTGGGGCTGCACCGACAGTGACCTATTGGAAAACGAGCAGCTCAGTGTCAATTGGGACTACACTTCCTCTTACTCCCCGTGCATGAGTACAGCGCTCAAAACAATGTGGGGAAAAGCTATCGGCGAAGAAAATATTTGTCAAGCAGTTTGCACTTCTGTCTCGCAGCTTATAGATGGAAGCGCGAAGGAGGCCAAGGAGATTTCCGATGAAATATTTGCGGCCCTGAAGAGCATGCTCATGACTGAGCTGGAGAGCTTCTTCATGAGGTAAGAGGTTATAAGACGGAGATTTTCACGTGGAAGACAGCGTATATTTAATATTTACAGGCGCATTGCGGGCTGTTGCACATTCCAGCCTAACAGCATTACGAGACCGGGGTGTCATTATCTGTGAAAGTAATAACAGGGACATGGTCCCATTTCCACGTCTATCAGATTTCATTACTCTGTGGTGTCCAGTTTAGTGATGCAATGACTTGAATGGGCCAGCTAACCCTATATCAGACCTTATTCTTCTCAAGCATGCACGCATTGTATCGTACGTCCACAGTAATGAAATGGAGACTGATGGTGTTTAATGTCCTGTTTCAGCTATAAGAAATATTTAGAAGACGTTATGAAAGGAAAACAGGATAATTCGAAGTTTGTAAAGGCTAACCTGTTGAGCATTAAACAGTTCAGGTAAGTTTTCTGTTCATTAGAATTAAAAAAAAAAATCTTGAACTTTTGCCATGTTTACTTATGGGCGATAGCAGTTGTTAGAGAAATATTGAATGTGGTGATTTTTGTGTGAAGGTCTAATTCTTTCGAGATGATGGCAAAGCAAACTGGAAAGTAAAAAAATTCCAGGAAATCTTCCAACGTACTTTTCTACAAAGCAGAATAGAAGGGATATGACTCAGTGGGGTGGGGACTGATTGGAAGAGAATCATTTATTTCAGTGAAAGCTGCAACAAAATGTCAGTACTTGTGTCATCTTGGTTTGATGTTTCAGAAGTAAAAGAGCAAGCAAAAAAGTAACAGTTATGCAGCAGTGGAACTAGTTTATTCACAATGCAGATGCAAATCATGCCCTCACAGTGTAATGACATTTGCATAACTGTAATGATCTTCTTTTGTTTCTCAGGGAATATGTTGCTAAAAACAGTGAATTCTTTAAAGATGGAAGTGAAGAAAGGTGCATTTTGACACTGAAGCACCTGGAGGACAGTGGATATAGATACCTAATCGGCATCATGCAAAACTCTATCAAGGTACTTGAGCTGCTGTGCGACACAATCTCTGCTGTCTCCAGGATGGTGGCAGCAGTTTGAAATATCTTTACAAATATGGAGCGCTCTGTGGTTTCGAATCTGTTGTGCTCTGTTGGTTGTTGTGAACTTCTACTGTATTGATGCAAAGGCTCTTCGTGAGCATGTCATGTAGTTCTATTGAAGAAGAGCTTCTGTTCACTGGTGTTGTCATGTAAACTGGACACCAGCTGTCAGCGTTCCTCCTATTTTTAGGACACTCTTCTAATTACATCATTGCACAATAGCAGGGTTCTGATCTTATTTTTAGTTCCCAGACCTTTATAGCTGGAATTTCACAGTACTTTTGCAGTCTAGTGAGCTATTTCAGTCTTGTAAGTGTAAGGGGAGCTGGTCCAGTCTCCCGTGAAGCGTAGTTCAGGACCCTGTGCAGACGGTATAATCCGGATGTAAGTGGAGAAGGACAACAGGGAAGAGACGTAGAGGATCAGGATGGGTTGACAGACAGGGGGGCGTGAGGGCGGTGACCCGGTGCTCCGGGGGCGTGGTGCAAGGAAAACGGATCCAGACAGTTCAAAGGGTGAATCCGGGACACAGTTCAGAGTCCAGAAATCGTGGGATCCATCCGAGACAGGCAAAGTTAAAATCCGGATCCGGAACAGGAACAAAGTATTAAAACCAGAGTAACGGGGCCAGGCGCTCTGAGCCCCGGTCTCAGACGGTCAGGACGCCGTGATGAAGGCTATGTCATCGGGTCTCTCCTGGACCCGCTGGTGGGCGGGCTTCCGGGCGTCCATCTCCCAGTGCTGAGCCAGGAATAACTGGAGCGCCAGGCTTAAATAATGACCGACAAAACAGGAGGCAGGTGAACGTGATCAACTATAAAACGAAAGGGTCGGAGCGCCCTTAAGAGGAGGGATGACGATCGCGACAGTAAGAGGCTGCATTTTCATGAGCAGGATAATGTTTCTTTAGAATGCTTGGTATTCCATTCCAATAAAGTGCGTTCTTCATGTGAACAATCTAAAAGCTACATCGTCTGGGCACTTTTACTTTACAGTCTTTCATAGTAAAACCTGAGGTGGTCTTTTACACTCATTGTGAAATCTCTCTGAAACGTTACCAGGAGAACTGAAGTGTGGCAGGTTTATAAATATCTTTTTTGGGAAAACTTTTCTCCACATCAAAGGCCCTCCCTTCGGTTCCCGAAAATGCCTGCGTTTTGTTTCTGGATTGTGCTGCTTGGCTGTTCTCATCCTAGGTGGCTGCTGTCCTTATGGCTGCAGAGGCTCGGAGAAAAGCTGCTGCTGTGTCTCGGATCAAATTGCAGGGTTTTTATTTTTCCGTTTCAAGCTGCTAGCACTAATGAAAAACATTCGCCAGAACCACGCTACGCTAGGCAGAAGAACCCATTCTTTCCAGAGTTACAACTTAAGAGGCATAAGAAAGTTTCATTTTCCTTGCACATTGAGAAATTATCATTGAGACAGAGCAACCAGCTCTCAGGGGGCAGAGGTACTTTGGAGAATGAGGCCGAAAAGCCAGTGTTTCTATGCCACCTAATGTTCATGCACTTTCACAGAGTTCTCCAGACTGAAACAGCAGTTCCAAATGGAAGAATTGTGACTTTTCCTCTACATCATTTCAGCTGGCTAGCAAAACCTTGGCAACCTCAGACTCTCAAGGGCCTCTCTCGGTATTTCCAAAGGGTTGTGTAAGAAAGTTTGGCCCATGCACATGCCCTTCACACATGAGAATCTGGGAGCACTTAAGTTATCTGACAGTGTAAAAGATCCTTGAAGAATTTGTTTATGGTGGCTGTGCATCCATTACAGAACCATAAAAATGTCTTTCACATTCCCATAGATCAGTTCTTTAAATTCAGTATTTTTTTAGGTCTTTTACCTTTCTGTGTTGAAAATGAAGATGATTTTGTTCTAAAACCCTGGGATGGTTCTTCTGTCATCGCAGGGGTCTGCTGTTGCTATAGCTTTGTGACAGCAGTAGAGTGACGTACACAGTGTTAAGGAGGGGGATAGTATTGCAGGGCAGCCTTCCTAGTCTGACCTTCTTAAATTGTGCAGAAGAGAAACTGGTCAGCCGCAAAAGGAGTTAGATCTTCTCTGTGGCAGACTTCAGTGGCTGTCGCACATGGTTTGTTGGGTGAGGTTAATTTGTGTGAAATGCAGTTAAGTAGTGTTGTCTTTACAGCACTTAAATTCCTCACAGGCTTCGTGGATAAAAAAGTAGCTATTCTTCCTGAACAGCTGTACACTATTCTTCCTGTACAATCTGCAAAAAAACCTTAGCAAGATCTATTTGCCAAACATTGTTGTGTGATGTGTATCCTTATTGGAATCCTGACCAGCGACTGGGAACTGATATAATTAGCTGTTGAGTCCACAGGGCACTTTCTCCTGATCTCCCCTTTGCTGGGATGGCACTGACCGCTCTGACCTCACATGCACAGCATGGCTTGTGATTCATTGTTTCAAGATTCCTCTCCCTGTGTCCCTCTCCCCAGAGTCTGCACCGGGACGTGGGTACCACGGCCTGGCTCAGCTGCAGCAAGCAGGTGATGGACAGTCTGCTGCACAAGGTGGAGGAGCTCCTGCAAGGGCACAAGGACATGTCCCCCGAGACCTTTCAGGTACGCCGCTTGCTGGCCGTCCCACGTTTCTGCTCCTCAAGCAGGTAGGGCGCTTGCTCAGAATCAGGCAGGTCTTGCCTAGTTTCCCTAGAGAAACAGGCCAGAGGCAGGTTCTTCCACCAGGTGCGACGTAGTTCAAGTTTTTAAAATGCACTTTAGGGTGGGGAATTGCTAGATCATGTTTTTCCATGTCGGGAGCTGAACTGGACAGCAGGAGGTTATTCCAAATGCCTCAGTGCCCGAGCAGAAAGCAAAGCAGTCCACCAGGTCGCAGGCAGTTCAAGCTGAGCCAGAAACGGAGGAAGGTACACGGAGCAGCTCGAGGTGCTGCGATTGCGGCGCCAGCCATGTGGAGAAGCCGGGCTCAGCTAGCGTGTCCCCCTGTTGTGCAGGAGCTGGTGGGCCGGCTGCACATGGCGTTGATCGTGGAGTACTGCAGGAGGCTCATGAAGCATAAGCTGAAGCTGCGTGACGAGGCGCAGCAGAGGACCGCGGCCGATCGGATCTGCACCGACTCCAGGAAGCTGCAGTGCCTCTTCAAGGAATACGTGAGTGTGGCCGACCGGACTGGACCTGCTCAGGGGAGCGTGCCTTCTGTCTTGCACACTTCGGGGATTTTTTCTCCAGGGAGACACAGAGACAGGGAGAGAAGCTTGGGGTCAGAGCGTAGGGTCTGCCATTGTACGGCGCCCCTGGAGCAGTTGGGGTTAAGGGCCTTGCTCAGGGGCCCAACGGAGTAGGATTCCTCTGCCGGCCGCGGGATTTGAACCGGCAACCTTCCAGCCACAGGCGCAGATCCTTAGCCACAGAGCCACCGCTCCGCCCCAAATTAGAAGTGTAGAATTCCAAGTGTGGCACGGTGCGGCACACTGGGGAGAATTGGGAAGTGTAGGCAGAATCTTTCCGGCCACAACACCGAAACTCAGCGCTGCTCGGAGGAGAGGCGTGGCCAGCGCACACGCTGCAAGCCCGCAAGAGCCCAGGAGGTCACTGTGGGGTCGCTGTGTCACCAAGAACCACACGAGCCCAGGCCAGCTAGTCCCACCCTCCACCCTCGGTGGCCACATCTGGGTCCCCACATGGGGAATCCTAGTCGCAGTCCGCTAGTGACCCGAGCCAGAATCAAGCCCACTATCACTGAGGTCAGCCTACACTCCAGTCAGCACTTTTGCCTGTTGATCCACTGGCTGAACCCAGGGCATTTTAAGACAAAATCACCTATCAGTTTGTTAAATCACAGATTATACATTTATCCAGCTATTGTTGGCGTATGTTTCTGGTTTCTGTCAGATATGTGAAATATGGAATGAGATTCTAAATTTAGCAGAAGGATGACATAATACCATAAGACTGAAATAATTATGAATTGTTTTGCTTTAGAAACCAAACCTGACCTCTTCGTTTAGAAAGGGTCAGTGAGACACAGTACCGGTTTGCTTTTTACATTAATGGAAAAAAACATTACATCCGTTCCTTACTGGCGTGGATTCAGAAAGTAAGGCTTTTTACCACTAATGCAAATACTGGGTGTGTTCCCGTCAAAGCTGTTGCTTTTTCCAGTAACTTCTGATGCTGACAGGCACCAGAATAAAAAGCTCAATCTGCTCCTTTGATTTCTCTTCTAAGCCCCGTGTTTTTGTTTGACTGCCGAGCATTTAGTATTTCTTTAGATTGGCATTGTCTGTACCTTCTTTCTTGAAGGAACCCCAGGTTTTGGCTTCAAACAGCATGGTGAGGTAGCCTGTCCCACACTCCCACAAGCCTTTGTGTAAAGAAGTGCCTCCAGTTCTTAGTTTTGACTGCGCTACCCTTTATTTTCCCCCCTCCGTCCTTTGGTTCACATTTAACTTCTAGTTCCAGCGCAGCAATATCTTTTATGTAACACCGACCACAATCACGCAGGTTTTCCTAAATGAGATTGTGTTTTATTGCTAGCCTTTAGCCTTCCACCCTTGTGTTATTTTTCAAGTGTCTGTCAATGTGGCAGTAATGCGTGTGGAAGACAGCTACAGTACATGTGCACTCGGACCTCAGGCTCTGACCCATAGTGCCCCGTTACCTGCTGCATGGTGACGTCGCGTGTAAGGAAGAAAAATGTCTCATGTGCTTCTTTGCTTTCGCGCAGGGGTCAAAAGATGAATGGCTCAACGAGGTTCTGGGCAGAATCGCGGAAGTCATCAAGCTTCAGGACTTGAGCACAATTCAGCTGGAGATCGCCACCCTGGCCAGGGATTACCCAGACATCAGGTGAGGCTGGGGAGGTGTCTCTGTGTCTCTGTGTGTCAGTTTCAAAGAGTGGAAAACCACAGATCGCATTTCAGTTAGGGTGTGCTGCCCTGATTCATCTCCAGACATGTTTGTGCCACAGGTTTAGACAAAAGCCTGTCGTGAGAACTTTGTGCCATTCACATGGAAACCACAATGCATGGCATCCTCCCCTACCTGCAGAGGATCGGTGGTTTTGATGTAAATGCGATTAAATCTAATGAGCAAAGGGGTTTTCATAAATACAGTGTGTAGGAATTCATCATTTAAAATGCTAGGCAGTGGGTGGCAGTCGATGGGGGCTTTGTGATAAAGGGCGGAGAGAAGAAGAATGACTTTTTGAAGATATCAATTCCAGGGGGATAGCGGGGATCAGCAGCCATCCTTTTCTTCTCTTTGACTCTCTCTGTGTCCCCCCCCCCCTCCCCTCCACAGTGAGCGCCACGTGGCTGCTTTGCTGTACCTGAAGGCCAACCTCTGCAACAGAGACATCAAGACCATCAAGAGCAGCCTGACAGAGACCAAGCACGCCATCTGCAGCAGCGAGTCCAAGCCTTTCTTTTCCAAAGTAGTGTTAAAAAAACTGTTATGAGCTCCACTGGGGGCCGGTGTCTTTCATATGGAGCCTGCATGAGTCGCTGTGCTCTACACCACGGCCCAGGGCCTGTAAGAGACCAGGACAGCCCCTGTCTCTGGCTCTGTGCACTGCATGTGTCCGCACAGATTTCGGTTCTGAAACCACACTCGGCTGAACAGGCTGTTAACTCACATGCTTCTCATGCCTTGGACAAACCTCGATCCCTTGAACATTCTCACAGCTAACTTTCCCTGTGGCACTGTTACAAACTGGTCCTTTTTAGCTTTGGTTCATTGTTATCATCACAGAGTTTTGGAATAGCTGAGCATTGGAAATAATAATCAATTAAATAGTAATAAGAAAGCAAAAACCTACGCATGTGTCGGCGATAAACAACTATTAAACCCGTGAACTCGAAAAGAGACGTCACCAATAACACAAGCTTTAATGCAATCCACTTTAGTTCACACCTGAAGAAGGCTCCACAGCGGAAACATTGTGTTTCCTCTCTTCTGTTTTTAGTATGGAATAAACCTATTACTTGTTCCTTTGCAGCCTACGCATACGGACGCAGCTACCCACCTGAACCACTTTAGTCCAATGCTACTTCTGTGTGTTTAGTGGCAGCCAGTACAGAAAACGCTTGTTACAGACATTCTGTTTCTAGGTAGGAGTAAATGTTACCGTATTTTACAGTGATATCTAGTTTCCAAGCATGTGATATTGAGCAGAGAACTTGGGGAACTCTGTGTGCACAAACCTTCCTGCTTCTGCTTGAGAATGTAAGTGTTAAGCTGGATTCAGCACTTTCTATTCTGTGGTAGTGGTATTCAGATGGGGTTGAGCAAGTCTGCTGTCAACGCCCTTGAAAACCAAACTAGATTCCTAGTTTTTTTTAAGTATGTTATTTTCAGTTAAAATGCTTTTTGAATCTGAATATGTCTGTGAACCTTTGTGTGATTCAATAGTTCTTGAGTGTTGTTTATGTATATTTGTAATGACAATGTACAGTGGACTGTATGTAATGTGTAGTGGACTTAATCCCGGTTAAGACTGTGGTGAGCAGGCACTGCTTTACACAAAGGGTGGTGGGTGTCTTGAACTTGGGTCATATTGTCGATTTCTTGAGAAACCTTCAAGAAATGTCTGGATGTGGACCTTGGATCAAAAACTTACTCACCGGCCAAGCAAGGAGTAGATCACGTCGGCTGCTCTTGTTTGCAAAGCCAGCAGCCATATCTCCATCATAGTCCCCATTTACCTGTAAAGGGCTTTGAGCGGAGTGTCCAGAAAAGTGCTGTATATACAGTATGTAAGAAATTATTAAATATCATTATTATGATAATTACCTTAGCACACTTGTACTGTTTCTCAGATGGGAAAGGCTTTACATGATTTCAAAGACAAGACTCTCCCTGGACCACTGCCTGTGCAGACGTTTTTGTTACTGTTACCAGTTCTAAAGCAATGTAAGCAACGATGTGCTCTGTTGTTACTGAAGATGTGCAGTGTTATACGACATGTACTGTATATATTTTATTTATGTCCATCTTTTTTATTATCAAATAAACAGTTTAAATGTCCAGTCTCGAATGAAAGAAGACCTCCCATCCTCTTGTCTGCTGTGCCTCTGCTGGTGCTTATTCTTTGTGAGTTAGCAGCGATGACAAACCAGTGCTGCATCGTCTGAAAGCCCTCTTCCTATCCAGTGACGGACAGATCTCATAGCTGCTGCCGAAAGACCTGCTGTTTGCACTTCCACTCATCGGTCTTGTGATGCGGATGAAGTCGATGGGCAATTTGCTTTCCGTTGCTTTTAAACCCCACTTTTTTTTTAAACCGTGACACTCCAGGGGTGTTCAGACACATAGTGTTCAGACACATAGGGGTTTGATGTGTCTGGAGACGAACGTCAGGGGGAACACGCACAGTGGGCATGAACAGTGATCCGGTGCACAGGGGAAAACTCAGAAGGTGACCAAGTCCAATCAGATCCAAAAGGGATAATCGGGGATGCAGTCCGTGATCCGAGAAGATGAGATCACTTTATTGGCCATATACGATTTCTTGTATTAAGAATTTGTCTGGTGATCCCAAAAATGAACGCAATTAAAAAAGATGTGGTAAAAGCGTAGTAAATCACTGGGGGGGTTAAAGCCACAGTAAAAGTGTCACTATGTTAAAATCAAAAGGAAAAGGTGCAAAGATATTGCATGTGTGGTAAATCTTCGTAGGGGAAGATTGTTGATTGTTGTTGGAAACCTATCAGGATAGGCTGAGCTGCTATGCTGCGCCCCTAACCCGTTGTGTCCAAGGTCTGGAACCAGTCCTGCCCCCTTCCTCCACTGCAGCAGCTCTCCTCCTCCTCCTCACTGTTCCCACTGTCTAACACTGCTGTCCACCAGTGGACAGGACAGGACGACCCCCGGATGAGGTTTTAAGAGGACAGATTATTCCTGAGGATTCCTGACCTTGCCTAGCTCTTGCAGTGTGTTAGCCTGGGGGGCTTGTGATCAGCTGGGAATCTCCTGAGTGTCTTGTGCTTCTTTGCTTGTCAGAGAAACTGAATTCTAAAATGGACACAGGGTAAATCTGGTTTATCATTCTAAAGCAGATGTTCATAACATTTATTTATTTTTAGTCCACAGTCATGTCCTGCAAAATTAAATTTCAAAAAGTATGGAATGCTCCTGAATGGGAGACCTCCTGGAAAAGCTTTGATTGCTGCTGTAAGAGGTGTTAGTGGGACCAGTAAGGGGCACTTACCCAGCAGACTGTGACTATGCCCCAGTATAGTGATGGGGACAGTATACTGTAAAAAAGGTGCCGTCCTTTAGATAAGACAATCATTTTTATTATTAGTAGTAGTATCAGTATATACCAGTCATCGGCTGACTGCTCCCAAACTAATATCTGGAGTGGAGACAGCATCCCCTCTTTCTTTCCTTTGAAAGACCACAGCTCCGTGCCCAGCCGAAGAGCGATTGGCGTTGGCGTGGGCGTGACAGTGCTGATGTGTCGTGCCCTGGACTGGAGCTCCCCGGGCTGTGAGACTGTTGGCACCCACGCAGCCAGCAGAGCGACGGGAGCCCCAAGACCGCTGTGTTCACTCTCTCGGACAGCCGCAGAGCTCGCCCCGATCCCTGCCCGAACCCTGCAGTCTGCAGTGTGATCTGGCACACCTTCCCACAACAGCACAACGGGCCACAGCTGAAAACAGGGCTTGAAAAGCCTTGCATGTTGGCCGGAGTTTAAATCCTGAATATATATGCCTACTCAGACATGTCTCTCTGTTCTCCAAATCAAAATGTCCTGCACTTACTGCCTTGATGTAATTTTGTAACTCTGTTTCCCTTTCCACTAGTATATAACATTTCCCGACTCGGCATTCAAACCCAAACTCATCCGCATTCGAGTTTATATTCCTGTCTGTCCAGCACTGAGGCATAATTGGAGGAAGCAATTAGGTCTTTCCTGTTGTTTTGTGTGTGACCTGCTCTCATAAAGTAGAAAAGAAAAACAGTTGAGCATTATCTGAAGAAATCATTTTGCAATGGCAGTGATTTCAGAGTGCAACGGAGGCCATGAAAAGCTGACAGGAAAAGATTATTTTCTTCAAAACATAATATGTCTTTTGCTTTCTATTTAACAAGATTTTACAAGAATAAGAGGCAGCGGGCCAAGAAAAAAAAAACAAGCTGGTTTTCTGCTGTAGTACGTCTCGACAGCCACATTTGAATATATGCACTGAACCATTAACCATGAGCGTAACTGTTTTTCTTCTGGTGAAAATTTTTCTCAGAGAATTCTGGAAATAAGACCCTTTAACTCATTCGAAGAAAGGACTAGTAAAAACACATTCATTTTAAACCCTCAATTTGAGGGCCTCAAGTGCTTCTCGAATTACAATACTTAAACCTTGCTTATACCGCTGAGACGTTGAGTAGGGGAATTTCACAGAAACAGTAGCTGCCCATGAAAGCGCCCGTAAGGATGTTTCCTAGGCCTCGTTCACTACAACAGCTCCACCCTGTGGACAACAGCGGTACTGCGCACATCCTTAACGCAGGATTTCAAGCAGGAGTCCATTTCATTCATTTTGCGTATGGTTTAAGGTAGGGATGCCTGATTCCGGTCCAGGAGGGCCACCGTAGGTTTTCTTGGTCTCTTCAAAGCAGCAGCACCTGAAGAGCTGTAAGAGCTGTAATAATCTGTTTGGTTGATCCAATTAAACCGATATTGACCTCCTGCAAGTCATTAAGAGCTGAGTGGGAGTGAAAACCTGGAGAAACACTGGCCCTCCAGTGTTTTTGTTTTCAAAAACAAACACACCTTTGTTTTTGAAGGTTAATTTGCTCTTGATCTCTGCTCTTGACTTGCAGTTTGTGTGTCACAATGTAAAACCTGCAGTACTGTAAAAACAGTAGTGAACTGCTATTTTGCTCTGAGTCAGAAGACAACGCTAGCTTACTCCTATTTATTTTACTCTAAGAAAACTTTCTAACAGTTAGATCATTTACTCTGAAGCTATTCGTTAGAATGCTGTAAAAAGTGCATATTGACATCTGTAAAGGCAAGACAACCAAAATTGAGACACAGCTGTTAGCCATAAATAAAATTATATTCCTTTCAGCAGCACAGCAATCACAGTGTGAAAACAAATGTGCAAAACTTCACACTTTCGGTGTCATAATCCAACACATGCACCGTGCAGATTTGTTAAAAAATGACATTGAACAATAAAAGTACCTTATTTACAGAGGTTGTGCAAACTCTGCCCGTCTCAGAAAGATAGTAGGAGGAGTAGGGCAGAATAGTAGATAAGTACAGCATGAGTCTCACTGCACTGAGGGAGAGAAGACGAGCCAGGAAGGTACTGGTCCCGGACTTCAGAACTATCGATAGGCTCTGTCACCATAAATCAGGGTTCTGGACAGAATCTGTCCCTGTGTAGAGAGCTGGTGCAGCTTCACACCAATGAGAAATGCCCTCTAGCTTTGGACTGGGTCAGGGATCCAGCCAGGAGGGCTGTCAGAAGTCAGGCTCTCAAATTCCCAGGGTTCATCCCAGCAGCTGTATCACCTGGCAACTCACAGCTGGCAGCCCACTGGAGGGTGTGGGTTCTAATGCCCCAGTACTGTGATTGGGGACACTATACTGTAAAAAAGACACTGTCCTTTGGATGAGACCTAAACTGAGGTTCTGACTCCCTGTGGGCATTAAAAATCCCAGGGTGTTTTTAAAAACAAATGTAGGGGCCCAATGTGCTGGCCTTTACCACTGATGGGCTCCTAAAAATCCCCCTCTCTGAACTGGCTTCATCACTCTGCTCTCCTCCCCACTGATAGCTGATGTGTGGTGAGCGTTCTGGCGCACTATGGCTGCCATTGCATCATCCATGGATGCTGCACATTGGTGGTGGTGGACGGGAGTCCCCATTACCTTTAAAGTACTTTGAGTGGAGTGTCCAGAAAAGCGCTATATAAGTGTAAACAATTATTAATTATTATTATTAATCCAGGTGGGGCCACACATTGGTGATGGAGAGGAGTCCCCATTACCTGTAAATGATTATTATTATTTTCTGCATCCTACAGCAGGGGGAGACAACTTCCACCTTGATCCAGTCCAAGGCTTTGCTGTAGCCAGATCCTTAATGGCATCGCTGACCAAACCACTGCCGCTACTTCTAACTCGAGTGGGTGAAACTGAACCTCCAGAGCCGCACTGAGACTGGCCTGGGGGAGGAAATGGCAAGAAAGGAGGTACCGAAAGTCTCTCGGACTCAGTGCCCTGAAATCCAACGGCCTACAGGATACAGATCCTGTGTTCTGTGCGGATACAGAATTCCACAGGGCTACAGAAATCCGGCTGGCGCCTGTGTCGGACTGCCCATGATGTGCGGGATTCCTGATGGAAGAACCCCTGCCAGCCGGGACACAGTCTGCCTCCTCCCCACTCATGACAGTAGTTAATCTCCCCACCGCCCTTTCCCATACATACAGTACAGTCAACACACCCCCGCAACAGGGTTTACAGCACGTTTCAGATGAATGTTTACAAAGGCATTGTGTGAAGCACAAATACAACAAGGCTTTTCTCAAATAGAAAAAAAAATATATACTGCTTTAACGCCTGGGGTCCTCCATTGGAGGAAAGAAGAACTCAGCCAGCATGCTGTGAGGCTCGGTAGGACACAAGGATGGCAGGCGCAGAGCGGACAGATGTGGCGAAGCACAGCCGTGGGGGTGGGGCTCACGAATGTCCACTCTGGAGGAGGCGAGGGCTGCGGTGGGCCGCGTGGAGACGCGTCACCAAAGGCAGGAAAAGCAGCAGCCCCAGCGAAGAGGTTTGGGGTCGAGTGGGTCCTGAGGGTCCTGGGGGTCAGAGGTCTGCCTGAGCCACACCCTGACCTCCTCACACGCCCCCAGGACGGCGGTCACCTGCCGGGCGGACAGGCTGCCCTTCCACTGCAGCAGGGAGCGCAGCTGGCGCTTGCTGAAACACAGAAAACAGTCAAATCGAAACTGCGGCACACAGTTCTGTGTGCAGGAATAATGTTGCGTCCCTACTGCAGCATACACAGACACGTGGGATTCATATAACCTTGATGTAAATCCAGACGCATTCACAGCTAACAGGGATCCCCGGCCTTGCTCCTGAACGGTCACTCTGTCAGCGGGTCTTTAAAGAAGCAGCAAGGGAAAGGGTAAGAGAAACTGTTGATCTGGTGGTCCAATTAAGCCAATTAGGAGCTGATGCAGGTCGTTAGTCCCACTGGACCTGTGATAACCTGTGGATACACCAGCCATCCAGGACCTGGACTGGGGGCTTCTGATTTATCAATTGAAATGAAAGAGTTCGGAATATCTCAAACCAAAATTACTTCTGCACGTCACTTTGCAGCATAATCTGGAAGGTTTACCCATAATGTGTCTCTTTTGAAAAACAGGCTTTCTCCTAAAACGTAGGGGTCTCTAATCTTTGTCCTGTAGAGCCCTGAAACAGTTAGTCTACAGCCAGGTTACCTCTTTCTAAAGACAGGCAAGACCTGTATGCTATTGCTGAATCAATATTGTTGTTCAATTAAGAGATAAGAGGCTAAAGTGTTTTGAGAAGGCTTAGTTCTAATTGATCTCTAAATGACTTAACAAATCATATAATTGATCAAAGTGGAATTGTTCCAGAATAGTCTAGTGGAAGGCGATCCCTGCTCAGTGTAACACCCACCACGCCCCTCAGCGGCCCCTCAAACCCACCTCACTTCGGGGATGTCTCTCAAGAGGAAACTGCCCAGCTGCTTCAGAGCGTCCTCATCGCTCACTCTCAGCATCTCCGCCACTCTCAGCAGCACCACGCTCCACTGCTTCACATTGGGACTCTGCAGGCAGAAGGGAAGCAATTTCAAATCGGACAAAAAAAAAAAGACAATGCAAGTCATTCAGAGACTACAAATCTCGTTGGTCCCCCATGTCGGCAGTGTTTCAAGGCTTGGCTTCTTCAAGAATATCAGAAATACAAATGAGAGGACGTCATCGATGCCACCTAGCTTGTTTCACTCAGGCTCTAATCGATCTGAGGAACTCATCTCGCCGTTTCCTGATGGAGCGATGGAATGATTTCCCGACAGTATCAGCTTCAAGAACATGGCTTGGCGAGCTTGTGCCTTTCTTTCCAGGAAGGTGATCTGCTGCAGCACCGCAGAAGAAGGTGCATGCATTCTAGGAACCTAATGCAGAGAATGTCCTCAATGCTTCGGTTAAGGCAGTGTCTCTGGCTCCCTGACTTTTTGCACATCTTAGTACACAGGGCCAACACTAACCTAAAACACAGACCCGGAGATGGACACGGTAAAGGAGCTCATATTGAGTTTTTGGATGTACAGTTCAGTAACGGGATGCACTAAGAGGACGATTTTTACACTGACCAGCTGGGAAAATGCAGCATGCAAGATCCCGGCATCCTGTTCCATCCTTCCTTCCACATCTCCCCACTTCTCCAGCAGACGTGTGTGGTCAGTCTTCAGCAGCGTCTTGAGGTAGAGGAAGCAAATCCGGCAATAGCTGGACTCCAGCAGAACCTGATGACATGTGACCCAAAACATCTGATCAAGTGGACATCTCTTCACTCCTGACCTAAATAAAATATCGTGCCATTATGGTACACTGTGTCTGAGGTTTTGCAGAAACACGGCTACCTAGGAATATGACTTAGATAACGACAAGCAGAAGAGACAAGCAGCATGGGAGGTGATAGGATGCACTGTATAGAGAATTGCTCAGGGGAGGAGGCAAGGAAAAGTGGTATTCTGATTCACAGTAGCCTGTGCATTTGAAAGGATCTTCTTTCACACTGTCATATCTCTAAAGAGCAGTTCTCACCTTGTGTGCTGCTTGCTTCTTCATTGGAAGAATTGTAAAATACTCTTTTGTGTTATCAATGAGGTCTTCCATACTTTTCTCTCCCTTCCTGATATAGGCTCTCAGCAATGCCTGAAACGACAGAATGTGGCAAATGTGTTACCAAATGAGAAACATGATGATGACCTTCCCAATTCCATTAATATCAAATATATATCCAATTAAAACTTCATTATATATTAAATAAATAGATTAGAACGATCTGCTCTTTTTTTAACATGCTGGAATTATACAATACAAGGGCAAGAAAGTACCAAGAGCTCTGCAGTTTCAGAAAAATACACCTAATGAGTATTGAGAGATTTTCTGATTTTACATTACACTCCTAACCTCCCCCTCTCTGTTCTAATTCTGCTGTCCCCAGCACCCTCAATGGGAGGAGGGAGAGAACTCACACACCTTGGAAGAGATGATGAGCTCGTGCAGTATCAGTCCTCTGGCCTGGGATTCTGTATCTTCAAGTGAGGATAACCCCTTTAAATAATTGACGTCACTTTTGTCCCCAGTGATCTTTTGTAAATATTCCCTATTGTTAAACAAAAAAACCCATGTCATATTCAAGGTATTTTTATCTTGTGTAATAGTGAACCATGGTATGATGACTGAGGCGTGCATTTGAGCTACAGATCCCTGTCATTTTAAAATAAACAGGCTTGACTAGGAGATTGTTTAGAGGACAATCAAATGCACAAAGTTGAACAGGCATAAACATCTTACTGTCTTATCGTAGTCTAAATTCAGTTAGACTCCTGCATGAGCATCAGTGCTGTGATGTGAGAGAAGCAAAGCTAGAGAAGCTTTGCTTCTCTCACATCACAGCACTGATGCTCATGCAGGAGTCTAACTGAATTTAGACTACGATACTTGATCACAGATTTGGCTAAATACACCTGGCTTTATTCTTCGTGTCATTTTTACTCGTGAGATCTCTAGCATTTTTGTTGCATAGGATCCATCTTACACAGAGGGGTGGAAACACCATGGTAGGACCCAGATGTCAATTTCCCACCTTACTGTGCACCATTGCTCTCACTCTGTGGACACTAATGACACTGTCCCAATTCCAGACAACAGGTGTCACGATCGTCATCCCTCCTCTTAAGGGCGCTCCGACCCTTTCGTTTTATAGTTGATTACGTTCACCTGCCCCATGTTTTGTCGGTCATTATTTAAGCCTGGTGCTCTCGCTATTCCTGGCTCAGCACTGGGAGATGGACGCCCGGAAGCCTGCTCACCAGCGGGTCCAGGAGAGACCGTCCTGACCGTCTGAGTCCAGGGCTCGGAGCGCCTGGCCTCGTTACCCTGGTTTTACTCCCTGTTCCTGTTCTGGATCCCGTTCCGGTTTTTAACCTTGTTTGTCTCGGATGGATCTCCCATTTTTTTGGACCCTGGACCGCACCCCGGATTTCCCCCTTGGACTGTTTGGACTCATTTGCCTTCACCACACCCCCCAGGCACCAGATCACCGCCGCCACGCCCCCCTGTCTGTCAACACATCCTAATCCTCTACGTCTCTTTCCTGTTGTCCTTCTTCACTTACTTCCGGATTATACTGTCTGCATAGGGTCCTGAACTACGCTTCACAGGAGCCTGGAACGGCTTCTGTTACAACAGTCATCCTCTGGACACAAGAGGACACAATAGTCGCTGTGCCAATGCCTGCCCAATTGAAAACAAAAAGCACCAAGAGACATACAGTAAATCCTTATTTTAATCAGAGATGCTTACCTTAGGCTGATGCACCTGTTTACAATTTTCAGAGGATGCAGCTTGGCAGAGAGGCTGTTTTTTGCCTTTTTACTCCTCAAGAACTTGTTTTCGCCGTCCTGGTATCTGTTGGGAAGATGTTGTAAGGTAAGTTATTTCATAGTCTAACCTATAATTCACAGCACCATAAGAACAAACAGTACTGAAATATTCCTGTAAGAACTGATGTTTTTACTCACTTCTGCAAAAAGACAAGGAGCTCTTCAGTGCAAACCTGCTGGACTTTGGGCTTGAGGACGTGGCTGATGTTGCCTGCCTCTGTTATGACACTGTTGAGTACCTGCAATGAAGAAAAGAGTCAGTGGGAGGCTTTTGTTCTTGATGTTTCTGCTGTATCAGAACAGTCAAGGAGTCCTGAAGAGGAAGTAAGGGATGGATTCATTGGAAATAGTGTTGCCCGTGCCTTAACTCCAATAAAACATGCCTGTTCTGTCAGGGAACCTATACGTGGAATAGGAGGATCCTCATGCGTGACCGGAATCCCACAGGACGCAGAGTAACAAAGGGACAATCCAAAAGAGCATCCTTGGGAATCTTCTTGGTTTGGTTTTCGCAGGATGAGGGCAACAGGCCCTAGGTATGGTGACAGCTGGGGCCATGTATAAAATACGGCCAAACCAATCAAG